CTCTCGTGCGTCTTCTGATCTCTCTGCGACATACACACCCTAACGGAAAGGTTTACGTAAATTTAGCTTGATGAATCGCACCTAAAACGGCCTCGCTTGCGTACGCGAAATCGTACGCAAATTTACTAAATAACTGCGTTGATAAAATCACAACTAAGCAACGTCGATTGCGTACGCACACAAGATTTACGGCAAAATATTTTCGTACGCAGCTTGATGAAATCATGAATCTACCCACGGACCCACCCGTCAGTGCAAGCGCACACGGTATTAGAGTCTACAGTTTCCATAGGGCGAAAAGCTGCTTTTGATAGCTAGAGTAGATGCAGTAAAATCGGTGAAATTTCTGTAATCTCACGATGTAAACAAACTCAAGTCTATGAACATAATATGTGTTGCGTGCAATCCAATTCTGCCCAATCTACGAATCTGCCGACTGTGTGGCAGCCTCATTGAACTGTAGCACCTAAAACCCACGCTGATAAACCTGTCAGTGGTAAATCGGGATCCTCTTACCTCTTCTTCTTTCTTCTTTCTTTTTTTCTCTCTTTTTTTGAATCTCAGGGGGGGATATTTGTACAGGCCATCCCCCTCCTTTAAGAGCAGGGGGTGCAAGCGGGGACGCGGGGTGCTCGAGGAGGGTGTCCCCCCCTCGAGTTTGAAAGAAAAATGAAAATAACGCCTAAAAATACCGCATTTCCTTGCACATTTTTCTGTATTATGTATTCTGTATTATGTATTCTGTATTCTGTATGCTAAACGCCGAACCCTGCTTCTATGTACAACTAAATCTATCTACGATTACTAATTCAATGAACATGTGTAAAACACACGTTACAATATCATATTTTACTTGTTGTTGTTTCATTAAAATCATCATGATTTTGGCAGAAGAAAAATTTGTCATCATACATTCCTTGGGCACTCACATCATTTATTGGCTAATAAGGCCGACCAAAAAATTACCTTTGGTTCGGGTCACCCGCCCGCTCTTCGCATTTCGGAGTGAAAAATGTGCGACTGCGGTCACTTTTAAAAAGTTAAAAAAAAAAATTCAAAGATACCGCCTGCCGATCATACATATTCAAATATCCGACTCTTGTCATTTTACTTACCTAAAGAAAGTTCCAAAATATTTTTTATGATGAAAAAAATGCAAGAAAACGTGAATCGTAAAACGCAGTTTCATGCATGTTTAGGATGGTAGAAGTAGAGGATATATTTTGAGCTACGCGATTGGCTGGAGCTCAATTAATCGTCCCTTTGAACGAGCGAGTAAATGCCTGTGTACACTGTCAACGTTTTTGGTAACATTCTCGGTAACATGTTGACAATGTACGGTAACATCCTGGGCAACATGAATTTTGACCCTGTGTACAATGGGTAACAACTAGGTAACATTTGGCCAACATGTTATCGAGATGTTACCGAAAAATGAGCAGGAATGAGGATTTCTAGGTAAGATTTTGGAGGGAAAATTATAAAAATGGAAGATTCGAAGAGGAGAAGATGTCTTGTCAGTGCTTCTGCTGCAATTTTGATGTTCATAGTTGACAGACGGAAGAGAAGACGTAACGAAAGAAAACAAGTGTGGACAAAGCCCTGGATCACCCTGAGGGAGCAGCATGGGGCTTATCACTGTCTCCTAAAGGAATTAAGACTGGGGGACAAGCCCTCATATAAGAACTTCCTCCGCATGGATGAAAGGGCATTTGATGAGCTGCTGCAGAAAGTGGAGCCCCTAATAAGAAAGGAAGACACCCATCTGAGGGACTCCATTCCGGCTGCAGAAAGGCTGGCATTTTGTTCAAATCACATGACCACATGTAGATCAGGTGATTTAGATCCTATTTCTGATTGGTTAAAGCTCGTCAACATCTGGTAACATAAATGCATCTGCATTCTTTCGCGAACATCTCAGTAACATTTTGGGTAACGTGTTACCTAGAGCAGGCTTATTTAATTGCTCGTTAGATGGCGCGCAGGTCAATACAAATGGCTTCACTCTCGTTGTGAATTTGTCAGCATTGTCCCGCGTCCAATGCGTCAGAGACAAATGGTTATTCCTATCTATTACCGAACTTTTTTACTCTGTGTACACTGTCAACAGTTTCGGCAACAAGGTACCTGGTCAACATATTACCGAGAATGTTACCAAATATGTTGACAGTGTACACAGGCCTTAAAGCCCGCCGCACACGCTGTGTTTTGTGCTGCGCCATCGGCCACGCG